TTTTTTGCCAGTCTTGGTCGGTTAGTACTGAAAAAACCTTGCCCTCGGTCTTGCGGCCTCAGGCCGTACTCAAGACCTCGGACACAGTCTTCCCCAATACAGACCTCCCGGCCGGCAATTATCACATATGTATTCAGCAGCACAGTCGATCAGATGCCTGGAAACTTCCTTAATTAAGAGTTGTAAGTGAACAAGGAAATTCCCATGTGCAACTGTTAAGATGTAGCTGATATAAAGATACATGGAGATTTCCATGTATGTTTAGTCGGCAAAAATATAATTTCAGGAGCGAAAACAGTGCGCGATATAGAGAAACATGGAACTTCCCATGTATTTTTAGTCCACAAAGATGTAAAGGACTTTTACATTTCGGCAGTGACTATAATGATGAATACATACATAGAATTTTCATGTATGTTTAGTCAGCAAAAATGTAAAATGCTTTCACTGTTTAGTAGTAGATAAAGTGACGTAGAGATACGTGGAAATTTCTATCTATGTTTACTCAGTACAAATGTAACGCCCCAACCATGTAAAGATACATGGAACGTTTCATTTATTACTTTATGAACCACAGGTAAATAGAGAACGAGAGAACGTTGCATAACTATTTTAAACCATTCCATAGAAAACACAGTGGCCAACATAAATAATGCGACATACTCGTGGCGCACGGTGTGAAGGCTGGCTGTAATTAAACCGTCAAATATAATACGGCTTTCTATTTCCTATATTCTGATTAGCTGTATTTCCTATGGCATGGTATAAATCTCTATATACTTATGTGTCGTACACTTCTCGTTTACTTACCTCAGAGATCTCACTGTTTCGCCTACACCTGAATCGCTTCCACATCCAGAATGCCACTTTGAATTTGACAGAATTGACAGTAAGAATTGACAGTAAGAGAACAAGTCAAACTATACATAATGATATTTGTACAACTCGGGACGAGATTATGTCACTAAATTTTAACCGGATACCAGTCAATGATTTTAGCCTCGTAATTTTGTGAATTTCGCAGCAGGAGAAGTTGCTCGAAATTTTGTGAATACTGGAAAATTTCCCAAAATTTCAGTTTTGATTCAAACTGAGCAAATAACCGCTGAAAATGTGTATTATCGTCTACGTTATTTGATTAGTTACTTGTTGTTTTGTGAAAAAGGCGTTTTAATGTAATATATCAAACACGAAAGACAGTGTTTGACCACATTTCCAAACACCTAGAAGAGAGTTGAAAATACGACGCGCAGCGGAGTATTTTTTACGAACTTCGAGGTGTTTGGAAATGTGGTCAAACAC